AGACTGCATAAAAGAACAGTAATATAATTTAACAAACGTTTGATTTAGTGATGAGTGGTCTGTTCCGCACTTTTTTTTTAGAGGAACCTATTTGTTCCCTCAACCCCTAGAGGTTTTGCAATGAGCTAAGCCCACGCACTGATCAGTGCGTAACTCTGGTGACCTGACCTATCCACAAGAGACTTGGACTTTTCTCAGAACAATCTCATACCCAAAGGGGAAATAGTTCGCTCCATGTGAGTTGTTGAATTGTGAGAGTTGTTGTTCCGTCTCCTTCCCTGCTGTGCTTTATTTCCTTTTTGTTATGCTATGGAATCCTCTGGCTGAGCTATCCATCTAGAATCTGAATTGATTCTACGAAAATGGAAACTTTAGGCAGAGCCCAAAATCCATCACTTCGGCCGGAGACCTTTTCTTCCTAGAGATGCCATGCTGCTATTCGTTTTTAAAGATCAAAAGAGCTCGCAAATCCCAGACAACGATCACGATGGCTGGAGGGTGGGGAGACGTTCAGTTCTCCTCCTGGGTCAGGTCACCAGAGCTGCGCGATCATTGAAACCTAAGGTTAAGCTTGGGTTTAGGCTTAGGCTTACACATTGGCTTATGCTTAAGCCTATGATTGGGCCTAGGCTTAGTCCTAAGCTTGCTTCGAGCAAATGAGTGGTGTCTCAATTTTAGATGACCTGACTTGAGGAGAAGTGCAACGCACCAGGAGAGTGTTGCGGTTTTGATGACGTCATAGGTGGAAGGTCGTTGAGAGCTGCTCCCAGCGCTCCCCTAGCGCACTGAGGGGTCTAGTTCACTAATGTCGTTCAATAGCGTCATCATACCGCAGCGCCCTCCGTGCTCGTTGCCTTTAATAAACTCAATCTATGTCAAGCGCTCAATAGACTAAGTGTAGTTTTAGCATGTCTTTCTACACCAACATTTTCAGAGGTCTCTATCCGCGGTCTTGGACTTGTTACGATGTTAAAGCCCTCAACATTAAAGTCATCATCCGACAAATTTCTCCAGTGCTACCAAACAATTACGAGGTCAGTGTGTTCTATGTAATTTTTCTGAAATATTGTTGGATAATCGAGTGTTTCGACTGAGGTGAATTTTCTACAGGACTCAAGTCTTCCGGTGAGCTGTTTTGTTGTGACAGTCCAAAATGACAGCTCGGATGATCTTGAAGTGTCAATTGCGTTTACCTTCCGTAATGGTACAGGCAATCGTCGGTGGGAGAATGAGTCCGAGTGCACATTTGCGAGATTTACCGATGGCAATGGTTAGACAAATTCCTGCTTTTAACCTCTCAGGAGTGATTTCCATATTTTTGATTTTCAGTGTCTGGTGTGACATTAGCTCATACAATTTCCCAACTACCTTGCACATATGGTCTAGCGACGTCATCTGATGTGAGTTTTAAGCTAGCAGCAGGTTGTCCACTCTTCGCCAAGACAGTTTGTGTTTTCAGCCATCTTCTTCGAGTCAGATCTCGATCTGTCATAGGTTTGATCCATCGAAATCAGGCAGCGCTGTGTGGGCATCGTTGCTTGAAACTGGCGATTTACCAGTCCAAGTAAGTGGGAATCGGTTGCAGTCTAACATGTTCTTCTGTAACCAACCTGCAATATCGAGATTTCAAGAGCGAGTTTTTTCTAGGATAACGAGTATTCCTCGAGCTGTTCTGAATTAGCCGTAGGTGTCTGTAATCGCTTCCGTGTGGCAGCTAATAGCTCTCAATCAAGAGATTTTGCCTTGTCTTGGGACATGCCAGATGTTACATTCGGTGCTTCCGGGCGATGGTATAAGAGGTCGGTTTTCTCTAGTCAATTTGTCCAACTTCTTTTTCTCCAAAATTTCGTTTGGTTTTTTACTTGAAATTTGTGTCAGTTTTTAAATGGCATATATGGAATTGGTACAAACGTATAGTCAAAAATGTCACTAGTACGGTGTACACAGTTTATTATTACTACAGGCGTTATACCCGATTTGTCCGAGGCGCTTCTTGCTTATGTGCTCGTGCAATACGACGCCGAGTGGAGTGGGAACATGCTTTGGATGAATGGCAGAATCCCATTTTGGAGCATCCTTTGCTTCCGGAATGGTATAAGTCGGCCATATTCAACGAGCTGTACTTTATGACTGATGGAGGATCGGTGAGACCTTCTTTCAAAGGATCCTAAGTTCGTCCTTTTCAGTTCACACATTTCAGTTGTGGTTTGAATTTGACGATAACTGGTCCAAGATTGAAACTCACTTGAGTGATTACACGACGAATCTTATGCGAAAATACGGCCGGTTTGGATATTTGGAGTGTCAGTTTTGTTTCAAAGGCTACAATCCTTACTCCAAAAAGACTTCTACAAAGCGTTGCTTTCAGCTTGGGAATATCGCATGGTGAATACCTACGATGTCCACTTCTATGCTTCTTTTGCACTGGCTCAGTTGTGGCCGAATATCGAGCTAACTGTCCAGGCAGAGTTTAGTGAGTGTTACCATCGTTTCAGTTGACTAGAATGAATCATATTTAATCCAGTATGACTATAAATAGGTTTTGCACTCCGTTCTTTTTTTGAAACAGTCTGAAATTGGTTTTGCTGATTGAACTCGATTAAAGCTGAGTTCTATGAATCTGAGTCTGTTCTTACCATCTATTATTCACTATCCCTTTTGAGGAGCGCCTATGACAATAAGAATGAGATGTCTATAGATAATCTTCCCTTTGACTTAACTATCATTGTTGCTGTTCGGGGACCACAGGATCTAATCGGTATATTGTATGAAGACTCCATGAGTTTTTCAGAGGATTTCAAAGGACTTTTAACAAAAAATATTTCGTACTTCTTCGTTGGGGTCTTCTGAAATGAGGTTTTGGTGCCTGTTAGTTCTACTAATTCCGAAGTGATACCGCAAATGGTTAGGAAAAGCGTGGTGAAAAATATTGAGGAGCATAAACTTCGGAATTTTTCATTCTTATTTATCACACTTAATGGATGTGATTCAGCCGATCATATTGAACACTCGGTGGACACTAACATCACATTCCATATGGAAGGCGACGTAGCACGGTTGAAAACTAGCAGTCGTGTACCACATGATTTAGGAAATCCAGGTAATCATTTTAGTAGCCACGCAACTCATATGTACTCACGTCAGCCATAATACACCTTGTAAATTACGAAACCAACGTAAACATATTGTCGAAAATTTATTCGCTGTTTTTAATTCAGTGATCCTAAATTGTTCAGGAATTTCTGAGCTTTTTTGAAAGGCTGCGAGTTGGCAGTACAGGTAGTAGTAATGACATTCATTTTCATGTGCCCTGTTCCAGCTGATGAGCCATGGCTATGTACAAATGCTTATGTAATGCATGATACGGGAAAATGGAAGGATCTCAATCTAAAGTATGTGCTCACATCGTGGCGTGACCATGTTGCATTACCTCGGTTGCCGGGAGATAACTCGTTCCTCGAACACGCTTGGCCTGCAGTACAGGTTCGCTATACACTTATTTGAATGTTTTCATTAATCTTGGATTATTGAATCCATCTGAATCAAAGTTATCCCCACTCCTATTTGTTGTCGTCATGGATGCCATTACGAGAGATCTCCAGAAGCCGGCTCCATGGACGCTTCTTTATGCTGATGACGTGATGCTCGCTAGCGAAGATAAAAGCACGCTCGAGCAACAGGTGCAAGCCTGGTCCGACCGTCTAGCTATGTTCGGGCTCAAGCTGAACGTTAAGAAGACTGAGTACTTGACCACCGATTCGAGTGAGTTAGGCTCTATTAAGATCAATGGTACTGAACTCACTCGTGCAACATCATTCAAGTATCTTGGATCAGCAATCGCGTCTGACGGCAGCCTGGTCTTCGAAACGAATTCTCGCGTGAATGCAGCCTGGTCGAAATGGCGCTCGATGACTGGCGTTCTCTGCGATAAAACATGCCAGAACGTCTCAAATCTAAGATCTATAGGACCGTCATCCGGCCGGTCGCGATTTACGGTGCTGAGTGCTGGCCTACGACTAAAGAGATCGAAGCACGGCTCAGTGTGATGGAGACCAAGATGCTGCGATGGACAGCCGGAGTCACACGAGTAGACCACATCCGAAACGATGTCATCAGAGAGCGATTCGGGGTGGCTCCAATTGTCGACAAGATGCGCGAAGCCCGTCTTCGATGGTATGGTCATGTCCTTCGCGCGAAAGATGACAGTGTCTGTAAGATCGGTCTCAACCTTGACGTGCCCGGAAAGCGGCCTAGGGGGCGCCCGAAGCAGCGATGGCTCGATACATTGCACGTAGACTTGAAGTCAGTTAATATCCACCCCGATCAAGCATTTAATCGGGAAAAGTGGCGTCAACACATAAGAAAAGCGGACCCCGCTTACAAGCGGGACAGACGCTAAAGAATAAGAAGAAGAAGAAGAATCTTGGATTATTGAATAGTTAAAGAGATCAAAGGCTTTGAATTTCAACTTTGTTTCTACGAGCTTGTATGGATATTTTTATGCATCAGGGTTTTTGGAATGGGTTAGTTGCCTTGATGCCAGTTTTCACATGAGTAAGGCCCCGAAAAAGGGAGCTCCCTCCTGCTGAAGTTTTCCAAACGAGAGCGCAATTTAAGATTCATTGCGCAGTTATGTGCTGCCTTACATTGTTCGTGATCATAGATTGATTGATAGCTCAGTAACACCTTGACGACACCCTCAATGTGCGCACCTACCCATCTTTTTTTACAATTGTTCATCATGGTTATCACTACAGCAAAACCTCTATATTGGTATTAAGTGTTCCATTGTATTTGCCATATCTAATTCATATGGCCAGTTCTGGAAAATGGACATGGAAGCACAATTCAATCAAAACGAGTCCTCCCTTGGAAGTGCGGGACGTATATGTCCCGCGCTGCCGTAACAATATGCCAAACCTGGAGTTTGGAAAAAGAAAATTGATATCGCACTAAGCTTCATGCCGACAATTCACTTATGGAGCCCATTTTAAAGCAGAAATCTGTCAGAATTGGTATCAGAAGATTAGTAGCGTTTAGAACGAGGTGTATGTGAAGACTTAAATATTGCGCCTTTGCAGAAATTGATGTCGGAAGCGCTTCAAGAGTGGGATAAAGACTCTGATGGAATGATCGAGAATTTCGGGAAAGCCGACCAAACTTACGACGCGTGGCGAATGGAGGGCGTAAGGTTAGCGTCTATCACCTTGAGCAAATGTGTCTTTCATTTTCTCAACCGTCGATTTGTAGCGCTTACTGTGGTTCTCTATGGTTGGCCTCTCTTCGCGTTGCGGCTGAAATGGCTCGTACTCTTGGCTATGCCGAGAGCGAAAAACTTTACATGACAACACTGGGCAGAGCGAAGAAGGTAAATTTTGAAATTGTTCTATGACCTTTTATGAGGGAATTGATATTATGAAACATCTCAGTGAATGGGTTTTCAATGGTATTTTTCAGGTATTCATCGAAAAGTTGTGGACGGGATCGTATTTTCGGTTCTGTGAGAGATCTCGAAGTCGGGAATCCATTATGGCAGACCAGTTGTGTGGCGTGTGGTTCTTGCAATCGGTCTCACCTCATCTAGCAGCCGATGTAAGTTTAATTTCTGTAGCCGCTCTACTTCTCATTTCAAGTGACCCAGGTTTGAGTTTTGCTAGTGTCGTGAAAAAAAAAACTTAGTGAGAGGATATTTTTTGTTACCGCCGCCCTTTTCCACGAAAAGAAAGGGAATAAGCTTGCCATTTATAGGTGCTACCAGATCATATGGTGCGCATGGCTCTAAAAACAATTTACGATTATAATGTGTGCCGATTTGCCGGTGGAAAAATGGGAGCTGTGAATGGAATGCGACCTGATGGGCGTGTCGATAGGGAGTACATTCAGGTAGGGATCATTTGATGTCTTTCGTTCAAAGGTGTGCTTGCGTAAAAAGTGATTTTCAAGTAAATTTGAATTGGTAGTGTTTCTAGAGTACCCAGGTTTTTCGTTCCCTCTATCTCGAGACCATTGCGAGGTAATTGCACTAAAAATAAGTAGATGCGCTCAATGTACTTAAAGGCACACTCGCCTTTTCCATCCCGGGGGTAGTAGACAGGCGGACAAGTGTTGATGTCGCGCCCCTTTTGCCGCTTGAAAGTGCGCGACAAAGGCGCAAGGAGCTCGTCCGACCCGCAACTCACACCTTCGTCCGCAAGCCCCACCCTCCGCTGTCGGTTGCCACGAAGCGCGGGCGCATTTGAGGCAGCGGTCCCATTGCGATCCAATGTCATTGGCACTGGAGCAACTAGAGTTAGGTTCGTGAAACTCGTCCAACGCGCCTCTTCTCTATCCCAAGGTGGAATGCGGCTGAAATAGGGGAGGTCTCTGTGCGGGGCGTAATCGGTGGTTTCGTTCAACTCCCACCTCTAGCTTCGTAAAAGAACGGTTTTCCACACCTGCTTTATCCCGAATCTTGCCTTTAGTAATTTGGGCCAACAACTAGGGAACATAGGAAAGATTTTATTTTGTACTGGCTAGGACTTTTTGAGTTCAAAGAGTAGATCATTGCGAGCTACTACTGCGATCAGAGGGGTAGCGCCCATCTCGTACATCCAAAAAATAGAATTATTTCCTACATTTGATGATGTGTGGGATCCGCTGTATAGGATTTCATGCAAAGTTTTAAACATGCGGAAAAGACACGTGTTTAAACTCCTCAGGAGGCACACATGGTTTGAGTTGATCTTGAGGAATAGCCTAATCTTTAATAGTTAGTGCGGTGTTTTGGTTTTAAGAAAATGTGTTACACTGAATGTTTCATACTGCAGTCGGTAGTGATTTTTTCTTTGTTAACTGCTGTTTCTTATTGCTTCGCGAATATATAACCCATAGGGTGCTGAGCTGTGGGCGAAAAACAATGGTTAGATTGAGTCCGAGGCCAAATCCCGGCTGGGCGACGCTCTTACTTGCACGCTCGTGTTATTAGTCCGCATTATTTGACGGCTTACTTTTGAC